CTACCACGATCAACGTCCAGAAACGTAGCAAGGAGATCGGTAAAATAATCCATGTGACAACAGGGGTTCAAGCTACGAGAATACTTTCTGTGCGCATAAACAACGCTGATACTTTGTTTTCAAATCAAAGCTCAAACAACGTAGAAAACGTATCCGCGTGGCGCAGCTGACACAGAACAACATACGCTGTTTGCGTTCAGTGGATACTCTCCAAAATGGCGCTAGGGTGACGCGGAGGAGACGAATTGTTGAATAAAGTGGGGGGGTTTTTTCGGTTTTTTTTGCGCACAAAAAATATTCTCGTAGCTTCGTAATATTACGGTTGAACCCCTGATGTCACATGGATTATTTTACCAATCTCCTTGCTACGTTTCTGGACGTTGATCGTGGTAGTACCCTTGCTGTCTATGGGAGGGTCAGAGAGCTGTCAGAATGCATCAAAAATATCTTAATTTGTGTTCAGAAGATGAACGGAGGTCTTACGGGTTTGGAACGACATGAGGGTGAGTAATTAATGACAGAATTTTCATTTTTGGGTGAACTATCCCTTTAAGCATTTTAAAGAGCACAAAAAATCAGAGCATGAAAGCAATTACCAACAAGATTTTGTTTCGACCTTGAGCACGCCTGACACTGTCATTTTAAGCAAAATGTGTTTCTGTCTTGAAGAAAATTTATTAAACCTTTTCTTGTCGTTTTAAGAAGCATTGTTGTAAACCCAACGCTGATAGTCACGCGGCTTCCTCTGGAAGTGGATCTGCACGTCTGAACCTTCAGCTTTCATCTCACACTGACACAAGACCTGTTTGAAGATCAAAGCCAGACTTGTGCTTCCACATCCAGGAGGATATGACAGCGAGTTTAAAGCCTTGCTTCTGTACGGGCCGATGCAAGCAGAAAGAAATAAAGACAAAAAGAATCAAGAAAAGAGAGGGACAAAGATGGAATTAAGTATGGGGCAGGGCTTTGGTTTTCTTGATTGGTTATTAACTAAGCAATTTAAAATGATTTAACTTTAAGAACATCCTGCTTGTAGAAAAGTGCTTTTTAAAACATTTTTGAATACATGAGCTGCCTCTGCCAAGAGATTTTATTAACAAAACAGCCATCATAATTAGCTTTAAAACGTGGCAAAATACAGCAAACCTAGACATGTTATAATTACTACAGTTAATGAATATGAAACATGTCAAAGCTAGCTCCTGTCATCATCCACTCGATTCCTCTTGTAATAGTGAGAAAACATCTGAATCACTAGAGCACTATTACCGACAAATAAAGACCCTTCAGCTAGAGGCTTTATGTCCCACAGTATTGACATTCAGATACAAACTCTGACAAAATATTAAGATTTTGTCTATTTACAGTTTTATTAGTGCACAGTGGGAAAATATACTACTGTTCAGAAGTTTGAAGTCGGTAGGATTTTGTAAAGTCTCTTATGATCAAGGCTGAATTCATTTGATCCAAAATACAGTAGAAACTGTAATATTGTGAAATATTATTACAATGTAAACTAAATGTTTTCTATGTTAATGTATTTAAAAATTTAATTTATTTCTGTGATTGCAAAGCAAAATAGTAAGTGGTACTTATTATTGTGGTAATTGTGATACTTTTTTCTTTTCAGGATTCTTTGATGAATTGCTCAAAAAATAACATTTACTGTCACTTTGCATCAACATATTGCATCCTTGCTGAATTAAAGTATTCATTTCTTTAAAAAGTAAATCATGTGATAGGGAAAGTCATAATTGTTTTACTTTGAAGATATAAGAGCTAGAGAGTAAATTTTTAGCTGAAATGGACAACATTTTTAAAATGTTGCCTCTTATGCTTGTTTTTAAAGTCTGTGTTTAATGACTCCAAAAACCTAATTTCAACTAAATCAGCTCGGACTACATAACATATGCATAAAGTAAGCTACTGAACCAAGCCAACCAAATAACCAAACTTAATGAAAAACAAACACTGTGTACAGTGTGCAATAGACAAAAGTGTCCTCAAATTCTGGAATGTTGCATAATTTACTTCACAGCAGATAAAATTTATACAGTGTAGCTCCAGCTTTATTCGGTAATTAGAAATTATTCCCATTATTTTTTTTTTATCTCACAATGAAATAGTGTTTATTTTGGCTGTAAAAATATTGGCCTAGAAGAAAACAATAACACAATATCACACACAATACTCCCCCCTCATTCTCTCTGCATATTTAGGGCTTTAGAGATAACAGTTTCCAGATGTTCCACATTCTCACTCCGTCATTGCCTTGCTTTACTTCTAGCTGCCAAAGATGTGACATTATACCATGAATTGTTGTCTTTACGTCAGTTTCTGTCTGTCACCATGCTTAGGTAACTCAGAGGGTTTTGGGAAGGCAGAAACATTTTCACACACAAATTCAGTGCAAGAGTTTGTGGGAAATGATCGAGTCACACCACATGCTCTTTTAAAGAGTTTTAAACATCTTTTGGCATGCTATCTCAGCATTTCCAAACTAAATTGATTTCTTGTTTTCTCTTTAAGTCCCAATTAAGATAAAATTATCTATGGGCTGCTGCAAGCAATTAATCAGGACTGTTTATACAGCAGACCACATTTTCATAAATTTTAGAACAGAATGTGGCCATAGATTTCTTTACTTATCCATCAAACACTGTACAATGGTTTTACTATGATTTTTGGTGTTCTGTGGTAGCCTACTGTTCACCAAGTAGCTTTTAATAACATGCCGCATGAATATGGTAACATTCAAATACCAAAAGGGCTTTTCACACTTGTATTAGTTAACCCTGGTTCATTCTAAACCCCAGGCAAACGGAATACTGGGTTATCTTGCTTCACGTTTACACTGCTCATACTGGATGTTCATAAACTTACGTTTCACACTAGCTACATTCCTAAACTACAGTTCTTTTTTGCATACTTGCATTTTGACTACCAGTTCATGTGTTTTCCATCACCATTTGACATTTTCCCCTCAAACGCGCGGTATGTGTTTCTGTTACTGTCCAATGCACGTGAATATGAGGCACGTGGCGCAATGTGAAGCCCTAATTTATATCAAAGCACCTTGGCATTGCCTTCATTTAAATGTCCATGTTATTTGTCACCTAACTAAGATATGGTCTATTACTGACATCTATTGGTCATATAAAGAATGACAGCTATAGTTCTTTAGTTTGTATGACCAAGTCCTCTCCAAATGTTTGTTTGACACATTGTGTATTCACATAGATATTCTATATTCTGCATTGTTTAATTTTAAAGTTTATTGATAATTTATTTACTGCAACCAAAGACTACTAAACATAGCCACATGCTGATCATTAAATATGAACAAATTAGTGCGGGGGGGAAAAACAGGTTTTAAGCTATAGTTTATACCTAACAATAGGCTATGTTTATATATTGAAATAGGTCAGTCATGTCTAAAGCACATGCCTCGATTTGTTGTTTCCTTCAGTGACTCAGCGAGATTAGACAAGTCCAACTACACCTAGAGCAACACAGACACACCCTAAGATCATATAAAGAACACCACCTGCATGAACACTGACTGCAAATGCTACTTTACCGCTGGCTGCAAAACAGGGCTGTAACAGGATTATATGAAAATATAAAGTATGCACACTACCATTTTGATTTTAGTCTTGCATTGTGCATTGTTTCAAACACAACACAAAGTATTTGGAGACTTAAACTGCCCAAAAAAGCCCATTTTTATATTTAAGGAAAATTTGTTATGCTGGTTGAAAGTCTTTTCACATCCCGATAGCAATCACTAAGTGGTCTAAATGTATTTATATCATCTGTGGAAGGTGTAGGACCATAGAATGTTAATCCAATCATATCCCTCGGTCCGCAGATTACGATAGACTGTCCTACCTGCCTGTCAACATATGTATTTGCAAACCTCTGCGCACCCTGTTTGCACACACATGATACGTCATCAGCGCATTCCATCACGCTGTTGCAGACACAGCGAGAATGGAAGGCGTTGTTATTGTAATATTATGAGCTCACTGGTGAATGAGACATGAGGTAATTTGACAGCACTGCATTCAACCCTCCACCAATGCCATCTTTCATTGTGTGACTGGTTGGCCTCTGGTATGCCTGTGTGCATTCATGTGTTTTAGAGGAGGTGTGGCTTTGGAGAGTGATTTGCAGGGAGGGTGGGATCTTATGCTTTCAAAGCTACCTTGCTATTGCTAGCCTCTCAGAAATGGCCTACCCTACTTTTAAAGGTATAGTTCACCAAAAAATTGAAAGTCATTTACTGAAGTTGTACCAAACCTGTATGAATTTCATTTTTCTGCTGAACACAAAAGGAATATTTTAAAGAATTTGGGTAAACAAACAGTTGCTGGTCCCCACTGACTTCCATAGTAATTTTTTTCCATACTGTGGAAATCAATGGAGACCATTAAGGTTATAAATGTATCCATAATATTATATATATATATATATATATATATATATATATTGTAACTACTGAAATGACATTTTGTAACGTTTGTAACTACTGAAATGACAAAATTATTTTTCAAGATTACCATCCTACTGTCATAATTGTTTGGTAGGTTATTTAAGTGCTTAGTCTTAGTACACGAATCATTCAGTATATGGTAGGCTATATAGGTACCATGAAAGAATCCTCTGGTGCCATGTGGTGCAATTTACCATATTGTGATGCCCTGTCTGGCCGGAGCAACGAGACAGTCTTCACGACATGGCGGCAGCAACAATACTACAGCGAGAATAAAAGTTACGCCTTCTTTCTTTGCAACATTTGGGCAGCGTTATGCAAATCTTCCCACATCTTGAGGTAGACATGTGGGGGCGTTAGAACAAGCTGTTTTAGGTAGGCGTGGTTGACTCTTAACTTTTATAAAGAATATCTCTTTGGATTTGAGACTTTAATCTTTGCAACTTTACAGATCTTCTTTATGCACCAAGAGCGTAACACTCCAAAGAGAAAGGAAAATTTGAAATTGCATCATATGACCCCTTTAAGGGAAGTCCTTTATAAAACGTTTACCTAAAACTCCACCCATGAAGACGTCATAAGTTCTCAGGAGTTTCGGGGGTTTCTCCATTGGGACAGCTGACGGTGAAATCACTTGAGTGGGTAAGTGAAAATCCAAAGCGTTCCACAGTTCAGCGTTCCGTTTGCGTGTACGCCACATTGGAAGGGAGCAATTTCAGATTCAGTGTTCGGTTTAAAGTGCTCCTCCCGGGTTCAATCGCATTCGCACCATGGCTGCTGTGAAGGCGCTTCAACAGTGGTGCAAAATCCAGTGTGAAGGATACCGGGACGTGTCGATCACCAACATGACCACATCTTTCCGGGACGGTCTGGCTTTCTGCGCTCTAATTCACAAACACAGACCGGACTTGATGTAAGTAACAGCCCCCATACAGCGAACGAGAGCGCGGTTTAGTGCTGCATTGTGCTCAGAAAAGGACAGCGTATGAACTTTGGACGAACATTTAAAATGCTCAACATTCAAACGTAGCGCTTGTTTACAGTTTATAGCTCGTTTCAGACATTAGATAATTTAGAACTGTGGTTCAAAGCAAAAGAATCTTTTTTAACTTAGGACGAGGACATTAGATCTTTCAGTAGGCTAATTCAGAACGTGTAGCCTAGAATGTCGGATGGTATTACTAAAAGTTTCAATAGGCTACTTAGAAACGTGATGAGAACATTCTAACTTGTAGAATTTAGAGTTAAGAAATTTACAACTTTAGAGTATATATTCTTTCTCAAGAATATATTAACTTTTAGAAATTCGAACTAGAAGTTGGAACTTTTAGAACTATAGACAAAACTATTAAAACCCATTTTAGATTTCAGGAAACAGATTTTTATTTTTATTTTTTTGCTTGAAATTCTCCAAATTACTCTAATAACACCATTACTCTAACATTCTAGTTGTTTCAAGTGAAGTTCTGGAACCTGAGTGTTGAAATGCCAGGCTGCATGCTTGTGGTTGTGTTTGTATTAGTGTCAGATTTATATTGTTAATATTTGACGTGGGGAAAATACCTTTTCTGTTCACTCATGTATGCTTGTCTCAAATTGTTTGCTCTCTTGCAGAGACTTTGACTCTTTGAGCAAGGAAAATATCTATGAAAACAATAAACTGGTAAGATTGTTCATTTTATAAAATGGTCGCTAACTTTTATCACTTCTCTCTATTGTTGCCATTACCATAATGTTTTACATTTCATTTATCCATTTCGTTGTAAAAACAACTTAAATTTAATTCATTTGGAATACCTGTCTTTGGTATCTTCTGATATCATAACTGTCACAACGATAGTTAACAATAGACTTTTCCTCCTCATGACAGTTCTTGGAGGTTAAAAAAGCATTATAGGTTCTGCAGAGTAGTATTTTGGTTTATGGGTGGTTTAAAGCATGTATACATACTTTTTTTTCCTAAAGATAAAGATAAAAAGTTCTTTGTTTAATGTAAAAATGCTCCCCTAGGCCTTAGCATGTAAGTTTTTGGTCAGGACAGTAGAGCAAAACAACTGAATCTGCTTTAAGTTTTCTGGGAAATGCCTTCATTCCATAAAGATCACAACCCCGTCAAGTTTCCTAGACCTCTCATAGAGCTATTTGACCTATGTGTGGTTGACCAGGGTTAAGATGTGACACAGTGTGATACTCCAGGCCTATTTTTGTGGTTTCTTCTGTTTTTGCAACAGCTGGATCACATGTTGTGTTGTTGTAGGCCATAATTAATCATCATCTGCACACTCTTATGTTCCTGTTTCCACGGAAAAGGAATACTGAAAGGAATACTGTCCAAAAAGGGCATTGTTGTGAAAGAGAGAATACAAAAGCATATAATGAAAAGTACTGCAAAAGAAATGCTAATGAACAGCTTTGTGAGCATGTAGGATGGCACTCTCTTTCCGAACAGAGCTAGTGTGACAAAGACAGTGAAAATGAAAGTGTTAACTGTTAAGATAAGGTAACGCGTGGTTTACAGGGTGGAGATTCAGTATCAGGTAAAAAGAGAAAGCTGGCACAGACTGAGAGTTCAACGTTTTATTTGTCAATTTACGCAGTGGTGCAAAGGCAATGAAATGTTTTGTTCCCGGCCCACTCATTGCAATGCTCTGTTATGTGAGAAAATATGTCAGATACACTTTGTACAAAAAATAAGTCTTAACATTCTCAGTTATTACGGTATTAGCTAATGGTAACTTTGGCATGAACGTTTTAGTTATGATCTGTAGTAATTTCCAGTTTTTACATTTAGATTTGTGGTCTTTAAATCACATTACATGCTGTGTGAGATTTTTTTAAAATGAATCTTTACTGAGAAATACCTCCCCCTTTATTGCTCTTGATTTTATCTAGATTGTTTTCTCGTTCTCTCTCTCCTCGTTCATGTCTGCGCTTGTTTATTTTTGAGGGAAGCTTTTTTTCTCCCAAAGAAATCCAGGCCAAGTTGACATTTTTGTGTGTGTATAATGGGCATGGAGGATTTATAGTTTTACCACTCAGTGCCTCTAGATGGAAAATCACCACAAATTACAAACTTTTGCCCAACTTTTCATCATTGCAACATTGTGAATTATACATGAGCTGAAAGCTGATCTGCTGACATATTCACACTATTATGAGTAATAGTGACCAGACAAAGAAAATAAAAACTTCCTCAGTTTTAGTATATAATGTCAATCAATATTTTCTGTGTAAGAGCTAATACAATAAAAGCAGAAATATAGTTGTTTAATGTGTAAAAAGCTCTTAAATTATTGTCTAGTTCCTTGTCTATTCCAAGTTAATGTATCAACAGCTTGTTTTACTCGAGTTCTTCCTCTTTTGCAGCCTGTAGATATCAAACATATCTTAAAATCTGGAATGATTTTTGCAGTTCTAGCACTTGATAATAGGGGTATATACATTTTAACTCGTTCAATATGAAATCCTCTAATTCTTCTGCCACACGGATGTTTCCCTCTTGTGTAATTCATACCCCTCGCATAATTTTTTTGTTATATTTATTAATTTATTTTTACCAGGCTTTCGAGGTGGCAGAGAAGGAGTTGGGTATACCTGCCTTGCTGGATGCCGAAGACATGGTGGCTTTAAAAGTGCCTGATCGCCTCAGCATCCTGACCTATGTGTCCCAGTACTACAATTATTTCCATGGACGCTCTCCTAGTAAGACATACACCCCCCCCACCCCCCACAGTCACCTCATAGCTGTTATCCACCCAATTTATGAAAGTTATGATTGTGTTCAGAAATACAGATATCCAGAGGCCATAAAACTTGATCTTGAGATACAAGCTATGTTCAAAAAAGTACAGTGTAAAAAAGGATAATATAAATAGTAGCATAATGTGAAACCGTAGGAGTTTTATAACCCTGCAAACAGTAGTAAACTACATTTTTGCAATTCCATTTAGTGCCTCTAGTGGTGCAGAAATTACACCCTTCACTTTTAAACTTAATTAGGACCATGTAATTTTTTAGCATTGCTAAAAACATTTCACTTTATGGATGTGCAGTTGGAGGTATGGCAGGGATTAAAAGACCAGCTGAAGAGTCTAATGAAGCGCCATCTGAGAAGAAGAACCAACCTGTCACAGCTAAAGTTTTTCCCTCCCCTAAACCAGCCACAGAGAACAAGACGCCTAAACCAGCAAACGAAAACAAGGTACACCATGTAACTCATCTGACACCTGTCAGCTCACATAGGAACTTTAGTAGTTCTGTATTTCTGGTGGAGTGTGTGTAATGCAAACTCATGGGTACATAACAAACCTTGTCTTAGGTTACATACTTCTGATATGATAACTTATGTTAAATATTGTTTTAAACAAATCTTATATTGAGGTATTGTTTGCACAGTGCTTCATGACTAATTGATCTTTTGTTTTTTGTTTTTTATCATTTCCAGAGAGAAGTTTTGGTGGAACGTGCCAATAAAACAACTCTGAGCAGCAGTTGTAACGTGTGCAACCAACATGTTCACCTTGTGCAGCGCCACCTAGTAGATGGGAAACTGTACCACAGGAACTGCTTTAAGTCAGTTCTATTTTTATTTTTTATTTTTTTTTATCTATTGGCCCTTTTATTCATTTGTTTTAAACTAAAAATAAGGGGGAAAATATAGTAATAAATATTAATATATAAGTGAAGTAAAAATGGCACTACTGGTCAAATGTAGGGCTGTGCAAATAATCGAATGCGATTTTCATGCGCATCTCGTCAGTAAAGCCGGTTCTGTGATTAGTAGTAAATCTCTAGCATGTGCTTTCAGATGGAGCGGCATTTACTACACAGAGCCGTAGATCACTGACAAGCTACGCAAAATCGCGTTCATAATCGGCAATGAATCGCCTGCGATTTTGAACGCGATATTGCGTAGCTTGTCAGTTGGCTTTACTGATGAGATGTGCATGAAAATTGCATTTGATTATTTGCACAGCCCTAGTCAAAAGTTTAAAATACTTTAGATTTTTCTTTTTGTTTGTTTTTGAAAAATAAGTCTCTCATTCTCACCAGGGCTCCAAGCTTATTTGGAGGCTTATACAGTAAAAACAGTTATATTGTGAAATTATTTCATTATATTATCAAAAGTGATACTTTAAATGCTTTAAAATGTTACAACAGATTTCTATTTAAAATAAATTGTTTGAATTTTCTATTCATCAAAGAATCCTGAAAAAATGTATCACGTTTCCAGACAAATATTAAGCAGCAAAAAGGATTCCAACATTGATACTAAGAACCATTGTTAGTAATTGAGCACCAATAATTACTGATAATATCCGAGCACCAGCATATTAGAATGATTTCTGAAGGATCAGGTGATGCTGAAGACTGGTGTAATGATGCTAAAAATTGAGCTTTGCATCACAGGAATAGATGACATTTTAAAATATATCAAAATAGAAAACATTTTATACTTCCCAATATTGCATATTTTGATCAAATAAATGCAGCTTTGGTGAGCATAAGATAAACGTAAAAAAAAACATCTTAAAAAAACAAACTTAATTCCAAACTTTTGACAGGTAGTGTATGTAAATGCATCCACCACACATGACTAGTGAATCATGTATACAATGCTCAAATTAAATCATTGTGATGACAATTTGAGCAGTGTAATGTGGGAAGAAACATTTCTGTAATAGCTGCCTATCAGTTAAAATTGTTTTATAAATTCCTTTAATTGTTTGCTGTATGGCAGCTATGATAGGGTTCATTGTTTTGTTTTCAGTCAGCTGATCATTTAGTATAATACCAGTGAATAATAGCAGTGAAATGTTTTTTTGCCATGTCAAAAAGGGAGTGAAGATCATCCATCTCCTGATGTTTTTAGAAAGTCTTTTCATTATCAGATCTATTCAGTGTAAATACCTTAGGTCTACCGTCTAAGTAGATTATATTTTTTCTGTTTTGTTAACTATGAACTCTCTATTCAACAGATGCAAAGAGTGTTCCACTATTCTTCTCTCTGGCACATACAAGCCTGGAAAAGAAGCGGGAACTTTCATCTGCAAGACACACACAAGCATAGAGAAGCCTGTAACCGTCCCGACTACACACATCACAGTGGCTTCACCAAAGACACCGTCCACATTTATAAGCAAGACTGACCAGAATGCATTAGGAGATACTGGAAAAGCTGGTTTAACACCCAACACATCTAAACTAAGCTGGCTGGCCAATAAAAGGGACCGTGCACCCACTCGTGAGTTAACTGCCACACCTACTCCAGCAGTTCGGCTCACACCAGCACCAAAAACAACTCCAGCACCAGAGGCTACAACTGTGAAGACCTCCTTTAGCCCCCGAACGCCCACGGAGTCTCTTAAACCAGTAAGCAACAGTGTACAGAAGAACCAAGAAGCCAGAAAGAGGTGAATGCCTTTCAGTTCAGTATTCTGATATTTTATTGAATCAGTGTTGTTATTGTTAAAGGGGTCCTATTATGCTCTTTATTAAAAAAAAAAAATATTATAATAATAATAAAATGCCAACAAATAAAAATGCCAGAAAAGCACATAAATTTTTTTAAATAAAGCTAAAATAAAAAAACTGAAAATATAAAAAAATAAAAGATATTAATAAATAATATAATGATATATAAATAATTCTAAAATAAGACTGCTTTGGATCAGGAAATGGGTCCATATTAGACTGGTAAAGGGGTAATTGTGCCCTAGCTGGCTAAATTACATAAAATATGGTTTCTAAGAATTGAATGTTGTATCTCTGATCGTTGGAGTGTATTTAAAAGATTATTTTTATGCATGATGCAAGATAAATCGGTACCATGTCAGTGGATATTACATCTTTTATTTGATTGGAATTGGTCAAAACTGAGAATATCATCCAATATTGAATAATTAATTATTTTCTGAATATTTAATTCCCTTTACCATCATCTAACGCTCCCTTCTCAAAATCAATATCCATTTTCATACTGTACTTTATAATGTTGTGAAGGCTAATTTCACTTTAGCATTTATACCGATTAATTTGTTTTTTTATGTTTTTATTTTTTCAGATTTTAACAAAATCCATTTGAGGTTTATGAAATGTTTTTTTTTTTAGGTTTATGATAATGTTACATTTATCTGGAAACGCAAAGCACCAATATGTTATGCACCAATATTTTTGTACGTTTATATTTACATTCTTTTTGCATCAAAATATTGTCAAGGTTACAGTTTTAAACCCTTTCTTACATTGCTTTAATAACAGCTACAATAATTCAGTAAAAAAGCATTTTTGCATACATAAACCTAACCTACCTCTAAAATCAAAGTGAAATTATAACTTAAGACTGTTGTTCAATTTGCTGGTCAAGAAAAACATTTCTTATTATCATCAATGTTGATACAGTTGTGCTGCTTAATATTTTGTGCAAACTGTGATATTTTTTTCTTTTTCAGGATTTTGTTGAATAGAATTTTTTTTGTTTGTTTTTTGTTTTGTTTTGTTTGTAATAGAAATTTGATTATGTGCATCCTTGCTAAATAAAAGTTACAAATCTTACTTGTGCCAAATTTTAGAACATTAGTGTAGTTGTAAGCCAAAATTCTGATTTAATTTATTAATAAAAATTGTATTCTAAGACCAACAAGGAAGTTGATTTAGGAACATTTTCTTCCTAAATCACATTAAACAAAGTATAATAACGATGATAAAATTTCTTCTCATTTTTAAAATGTCTACTATGTCCATTTCTAAATGAAAACATTTTGATGTAATTTCAGAAAATGATACAGCTCCATCTGATTGGAGGTCCATGCTCAAGCCTGTAAAGTAAGTTGTGCTTGTTTCTCTCTAAATGAAACATGCTTTTGATCTTTACTAATACTGTCTTGTTCTTTAATATTTGTTAATCAGACAGATGAGTAATTTTGTTCTTTCTCAGTAAAATCATTTAATAACATCTTCTCTATATGATTTCCCTAACCAAATCATCCTGCTCTTCATTGATTAACTGGTTCATTCTCCAGACATTCTGTCCCTCCCATTCCTTCACGCTCTCTTGTGATTGGTTCTCTTGATGGGCGTGTAAACCAGCTGCGCCCAATAAGACCAGCAGTGGGTCGTATTTGAAAGTCCCCAGAGCGCTAGAGCTCAGTGCACAAGCACTTCCCCCATGAAGATCTTTCACCTGTAACTGCCCTTTTAACATGCCTCACCCTCCTAAACTTTCACCTGTCAGAGGTGAGAGAAGCCATGCTGAACATTTAGTTGCTCAGAAACAAAACAGAAATGTTTAATATCTTCTCATCTCTTTTCCTTTTTATAGAACTGTCGGTTCCACAGAAAACACTGGCTCACCCTCCAAGAAGCCAGAAGCAGCTTCCTCTCCACGGACATCGGGTCCGGGAATCTCCCAGACATCTGTTCCTGCACCATCTACCACAAACATCTCCATTAGCATCAACTCACCCAAAGCTCCCTCACCTAGCCCGGTGAAAAACGGGCCGAAATCTAGCGGTAAGATCTTAGGAAAATGTGTAGAAATAGCCTTGTTGTTAAATAATCTTTATTCAACAATGGAGGTCACATAAGAACAAATACGTCTTTTCAAAAAGAAGGAAGAAAGGAAGGAAGAAGGTGATGTGCCTAAAACAAGTTGTAAATGGGAAACAGAATAATACATTTAGATTTATGCTAAAACACACACCACCAGTCAAAATTAAATACGCTAAAGATATTTTCTCTGAAAACCAATGTTCTATTAATTGATATACTATTATATTTTAATATTTTGAATTAAGTGAAAAAAGAACATAAGCTTTCATTTTAATTTGAGTAATTTTATGTGCTTTTGTCATTATTTTTTTTTTTCTTTAATTGTTCAGTTTTAGTTATTTTAGCGCTTCAACAAACTTATTTTAGTCAAGGCAGGATTTATGATTTTTGTGAAAGTTTCTGCTTTAAGTTTGTTTTTCGTCTAATATGTTATATTTCATTTCAGCTTTTTTACTTACCGAAAAACGATTTTTAATAATTTTAGTTAACAATAACAACAACAACAACACTCCTAAAAACTAGTACAATTTAGTTTCTTTGATATCTTGTTTTAATGATGTTAAAATGTTGTTGTTATTACTGTGAAACAAGATCAAGATACTGATTTTCTTTTTGCAGTGTATTATTACCATTTTCACACATCAGGTTATGAACCTAGTCCTTCAGTGTCACAAATACATGATTTTTTTTTTCATGGTACCATGTCCAAAAACTATGGTAAATGAGGTTATACTTTCTGTAAGGGTCCCAGGTACAGCCAAACATGCATTATATATTACCATGAACAATAACATTAATTGCATTTAAATTAATAAAGGAGCACTGCCTGCAGTACATTTGTTTCTTAGTTTCTCTATTTCTCTGTTCATCTGTATGTTTGCATCTCTGTCTGTCTTCCAGACTCCAGCAGTGGCAGCATCGCATCTCCCGTTAGTCCCTCAGAGACTGAAACTCACAAATTGCACAAGGTGTGTGTCAAAACAATAATTACATGTGTTATCTGGTTTTCTGCATTTCTGTCTGCACTGATGTGTGTGAGTGTTCAGGGAATACTTTGTCAAGGGGCCTATTTAGACTGTTTTGGAGAGTCAAAAGGACCTTTGGGGCACAGTTATCTTTGAATCAAAAATAAAGTGACTTCATAGTAAGCCCAGATTTTTGAACAGTCTTTTCACATCTCTGATAGACTAGAAAAGCATTTAAAGGAATAAATAAACCATTGAGGATCTGTGCAAAGTCGTTTGTGCAGAAAGTTCACGTTTGACGTATTGTGTGTCTGTTTGCTTTAGCCGGGTTACATTCCTAAGGAAGACATTCAAAAAGAACTGAAGGAAATCGAGATGAATATGAACAAGTTGGAGAAAAGAGGAGTAGAGCTGGAAAAACAACTCCGACAATGTGATGAGGGTCTGTATACACACACACACACACACTTAAAAATGGCTCTTTTACAAATAAGGAAAGAATGAATAGCCTTGTCAGATCCACTTCTCAGACAATCACATTATAAAGGAAGAATTATTTTACTGTGTCCATTTATCTTGCAAAACAAATGGATACATATTATGAATTGTAAAATTTAGCAACTTTCAATAAAAAAAAAGTTTACTTAAAAAAATATATATATATAATTTG